TAAGACTAGGTCCCGCATTTCATTCTTAATGACACAAAAAAGCAATGGAAGAAATTACTTACTAAAGATTTCAATTTGGACAAAGATAACTTATATGATGTTAAAAAATCAATATGACATCAACAATTCATGTCAGAGAAGAATTATATTTAGGAAAGTCACAACAATTCATCAATTATTCTGTTTATAAAATTGATGATAGCACAAAGCATAACTGATCTTTGCAACAAAAGTTAACTTCATTACTGCAGCCTAAAGCTCGTTAACAATTTATTTATATAGATTATTAGATGATTTTCTAACAAATCTTCACAGTGAATAATGAAACCAAAAATCAAGAAACACTAGCATAACAACTTCAAAAGATTGTTATCCCTGATGAGGCCCTCTCCTATATTTCCAGAGTTAATGTTGTTGTAGCACAATAAAAGTCATAAACATGCAATTTACTAAGTTTTGTAACTAGAACAACATCTTCATATGTATAACACCCACCTTGTTTGCCAAATTCATGTTAAACATCACCTCCCATAGATCTGCATAGTCCTTTCTCATAGGTCAATTAATCATTGATAAAACACTCACTGTCTCCTTCTCCACTATTTACCTCCTTATCTCATAAAAGTTGTGGACAAAAGTTGATCCCAGCTCTAACCAATATTATATAGGACCACTCAAAAATCTTAGTGCCACAACGAAACATATACACAAGATGGTTCTAGATCCTATGCATGGCACCATTCAGCAGACAATCAAAATTAATGAACAAGACCATAAACATTATTTGCAAAGGATAGCACAATATCAACTGGTTCAGTTAATACTCAATCTAGAACTTCAACGACGACAAATACAAGATAAACATATTGCACAAAAAAAAAAGCACTTACAGGATGAACCATATGCCTCCAACCAAAGGTATGGAACCCCAAAGGAATCCACACACAAGCCCAAGCCCTTGTCTAATCCAATGCAAAACGTCTCCCAACTGATCCTGCTTGGAGGTAACCCACAGGCAACGGTTGTTAGAATATCATTGGAAAAATTAAGTAACAACTGCACACAGCATAAAAACGTGTAATAACCACTAATTTACATCCTCACAAAACTATATACCGTTATTCTCAATCTCAATCGCATACTATAAATGAAGTTGAGAACGTCTTGTATCAGTAACACAACTTTTTTGTTTTTTTTAACTCTGCTGCTGACCCAAATTTCAGGCAGGCAAATAATTCAGCTCAGCATCTTCAAAATCAATTATTTCATTTTAAGTAAATTTCAGCAAACATCTACGGGTCAAATAGGGAACAGGAGTGGATCTATGAAGGATGTACTGAAAGAACAAACCTTGTCCCAGGAAGCTTCGGGATCAAACAATTTGGCGAATTTTGAAGGCGAGAGGTGACCGTTCTGGTGCGGCTGTTGATGGTTAACGGATTTACCCTCTTTCATAGTGGAAGAAGAAGCAACGAGTAAGAATAAAAAACAAAGAGTAATCGGGAGTGAAGTACTTCACACAGAATTCGGGATTTCGGCGACGCTGGAGGATGAAAAAAGAAAATTAGGGTTTAGGATTAGAAAGGAAAAGGGAATCTGAATGCAAATTAAAAATTGCAGAAATTGGTTGTTAATGTTCGATCTGGTATTTCATCTACATTAACAGTAACAACTCAGAATCTATCTCTTTTTTCCCTAAAATCTCAACGATAGAATGAGAGATTACTTTTCTGCTGTTTCTTACTTTAGTTTATCATAAATTTTAATTTAAATTTAAATATATTCAAACAAATGTTTTGCAGATAAACATTTATTCGTTTAGTTATTTTACCTGAAATTTTTATCTTTTCTTCAAATTTATAAACATTATTTTTAATATTATTATATCAATAGAGATAAAATGACATGCATATTAATTAACACGAATGGCTTTCAATAATAAGAACAAAAGCTCAAGTTTCAGTTATAATTAAACCCAATAATGAAAATATAGAATTCTAACATATTGGTTTCACATCTTTTTCAGGAAATAAATTTTAATTGTAAAGCCCTAATTATTGTGATGTTTTCATGATATGGTACATACATCATTGTTAATATTGAAAAAGATACCTTTAGTATCTCTATATATTAAAAAAAGACTATTTAATAAAAATAGTAATAGTATTTGGACAGTTTTTTTTATATTTTAAAATATAATTAAAAGTAAAATATAAATATTAAATATATAATCCTTTATATATTTTTATAGATTTTTTTAAATTTAAAAATATTATTAAAGATAAAATAAAAATATGAAAGATGTATCTTTTATATATTGATTATAATTATTATTATAGATAACAACTTTTTAAAATAACAAGTGTTATTTAGTATCTGCATATATATAAAAAAAACTCAGCTTATAAATACGGTTACAATATTATCATTTTAAAAATTAAATCACCGTATAACTATAGTAGAATAAAATAAACCAATAATATAAGTTTCAGAAACACATACTTTATCTATATGAAACAACATATTAATGAATAGCATCATAAAGTTCAAATAAAAACAACAATATAAATTCATTATTGAAACCTTGTTAAAAAAACTATATTAAAAAAATTGTGAACTATCCAATTAAAAAAATGTAAAAAAAAAAAGTTGTATTTAATGATAGTTGATTTTTTTTAGTTTATATCTTTTTGTTTTGATCATCACATAAGGAGGTTAGTATAAATATTAAAAAATCATGGGAAAATCAACTCTGTATATGTGTATATATGTTATCAATTCCAAAATTGTTAAACTTTTTTAATTTTTTGTGGATAACGGATACTCGCGGGACGGTTAGTATATTACTTGTATCCGATCCGTTTAGAAGCGGGTATTAAAATACACGCTACCCGTTATCCGCGGATAATAAATACTCGCGAATAGTAACTACCTGCTGCGGATTTTACCCGTGGATACATCAATATATCACTTACAAGACTAAGTCGATACATCAATATATCATTTACTTGAAACCACCACTAAGAATTTCACCCTAAAATTTCTTTCCAAACCAAACGGAGTTCAATCATACTATTCATACCATCATATCATTTAAAATCACGTTACTAAGGAATTGACATATCATTCCATCATTAAAAATCAAACATAAAGGAGAAGAAAATCAAAATATCTACAACAACTTGAACTCATTCGCCCAACAAGCACAAATTGTTTATCCAGTGATAGCCCAAATAGAGGGCTTCCCAAGCCCAGCGAGGGAACTCGCCAAACCCCTAAACTTCACTGTCAAAAACTCACCTAGCGAAAGCCAAAATAGCAAGCTCTATGAGCCCAGTGAGTTGCCTAGCCCAGTCATTGAAACTTACTGCCTAAACTCACTTAAACTCGCTTAGCGTACTTCTCTTGCTTGCCTAGCCTTGTTGCATAATTATACTGCACGAAAACTATATAAATAGCACCCCTAAAACATCCATGAAATATTCTAACCATTGTTACCAACTTCTAACACTCTTAGGTTGGATTCTAAACTATTTTGGACTTAAACAAACGTGTACAACATATCTTAAATTAATTATCAACTGTTTACAATAAGATATTAACTCAAAACAACTAAATCTTCATGTTGAAGACCAAAATTCACTTTTATAAGTTCTATCTCACTTTTGACCAACTTAGTGACTTTAACAAGTCAGAAATAACTTACCAAAACTCCATAAAACTTTCATTTTGACACAAAACCTCTAATTCACAATCTTATCATCCAAAACCTTTACAAAACATCTCTTTCAAGACACCATCTATTGCTTTCTTAACATTCATAAACCAATTCTTTGCACATTCATCACATATTCAAGTTACAATTAACCACAAAATAGTTCATAAGTCATCACCTCTTCATTTAGACCCTTATTTCAAAAAGTCACATATAAAACCCATTTTTTGACCAAAATTTGACTTTTCACCTATCTTAACTTCCTCTTCCTCGGCTTCTTAATCCAATACCATTACTAACTTCACAAGCACAACCAAAAATCATAAATCAAGATTCATTCCAATCAAATTCATTATGATAACCAGTAGTCAATTAACTATTTTAAACCATTCCAATCATAATATACACATTAGCATGCAAAATTGTAGTTTTACCAAATTTAACACAATCTCACTAAACTCATGAATTTGAAATAGCAATAAGAAGGACAATAATATTTTTGCATTACATCCATCATCATAAACCACAATAGCAACTCCTTAAACTCCAATTGCAATTTCAACTAACCACAAATCCAAATTGAACACCAATTTCACTAGATTCTTCAACCCCAATTTAACAATAATTGCAATTTCAACGAACCACAGACCCAAATTAAAGCTTAACATCCTAATCCATCAAACACAACATCGTGTTAAGAACCTGAACTACGCTTTTTCAATTGCAATTTCAACAAACTACGAACCCAAATTGAACACCAATTTCAGTAGATTGTTTAACCCCAATTTAAAACTAATTGCAAATCCCTTCAAAACTCATTGTAATTTCCTTTTATAGAATAAATTTAACTTTTAACATTCCACGTTACTTGGATTATGTTGCCAGGTATTTTGAAAATAGATAGTTCATTGAATATTGACTAAGGTGAACATTACGTCATTAGCGAGTTAAACGTCATCCGCAAAAAAAAACAAATTGAACCATTTTTACAAAAGAATAAATCATTTGAACAACTCAAAGATAGATGATCACTATGAACAAAACTAACTAATAAGAGAACAAAAATATGTATTAAGCCAAAATCAAATAATTAGATAATTTTTATCTAAAAAAATTAAATAATTTATTATTATTTAAAAATAAGGTTACTTATCCTTTTAATATTCAAATATATATATATATATATATATATATATATATATATATATATATTATTATTATTATTATTAATTTTTTTTTTATTGATGTGAAAATAAATCCCCGGAACTCCGTATACTTTAGCTATTGGTTTTTCCTTTTACCCAAAACACACTTCATGCTCGTCTCTTCTATTGTTTGAATTTGAGTTCGAATTTGATTTGGACGAGGTTGGAGTTTTGTAATTTGTCTGGGTTCTGAAACTGGTAGTCTTCTGAATTAGGGTTTAAGTTTTACACCCAGAGATGGGCAGCCCCTCGAAGAAGAACGAAACTAAGGGGTTTTTCTCCGCCATGTCTTCCATCTTCACCAACGCTATGCATCGATCAGTCAACGGGTACTTCGTTTTCATCATCCCTTCCTTATTTCACCTCAAAAAAAAAATGTCAACTGTAAATGTCTATTTCGCATCCTTTGTTTCAACTTTCAAGTAGCATTTGATGATTGCATTTATAGTGTGAAAATAAAAAGTGATCCCCCGTTATTAGAGTAATTTAAATGCTTTTCCTGGATTCTACAACTAGCCACTTAGGATATTGCATTCTTACAACACTACAATTTCAGTCTATTCTAGCGGTGTCAAAGTACCTGTCAATTTTCTCACTAGGATTTGCAACGATATGGAGCGGAATTTAAGCTTATTTACATGATTCTGTTTTTGTTTCCAGGCTTCTTGGATATGAAGGTGTGGAAGTCATTAATCCAGATGGAGGTAAAGAAGATGCAGAGGAGGAAGCAGAGAGAGGAAGATGGAAACAAGAGGTGCTTATTTAGTTTTATTTATTTATTTATTTCTTGTTGTTTCTAGCGTTGCTATATTTCCAGCTCCCTGTTTGGACATTTAAATTGCTGTTGGAAATTACTGTTCCCTAAAATTAAATTGTCTGTGTTGTTTGTTCATGATAATGATTCTGACGTATGTTTTGGTTTTGTTCTATTTTCTTCTTCTCTTCTAGCATATGCCTCATTCATTGGTGCTCATATTCTAAACATCTTTTGTATCTTTCTTTCCCTTGGGCTCTTTTATGTAAAGGAAAGAGATGGTTACTGGAAGATGATGCAGAAATATATTGGCTCGGATGTAACATCAATGGTGACACTACCAGTTATTATCTTTGAACCGATGACTATGCTTCAGAAAATGGCCGAGGTCTGCTTACTTTTAGTTTGTCATTGCTGATGGTTTCTTAATTTGTAGTATTAATTGATTGATTTAAATTGTTTGAACTAGTTGATGGAGTACTCCTACTTGTTAGATCAGGCAGATGAATCAGAGGATCCATACATGCGGTTAGTTTATGCAAGTGAGTTATTTTCATCCCTTTTTATTTGCTTTTCTAACTTTTTTTGGCCAATCGAACTGAAAATTCTTCCAACAATACAGTTTTTATCAATGATTTATTTTACTGGCCTCAAATATCTTCATCTGAGACTTTTTTGTATTAGTTATTGTTCTTGAATCTTCCAGTTGCACTGGAGTAAGTCTAGGAATGGTTTTCCTAATTATTTCTTCACTGTTGTACTTTATGATAATCATCACAGCATCATGGGCTATATCGGTGTACTTTGCTTACCAACGAACCTGGAAGCCTTTTAATCCTATCCTTGGAGAGACTTATGAAATGACTAATCATGGCGGAATTACATTTCTTGCAGAACAGGTATCTATGTGATTCTCGTGGAAACTCTCTGATGCGGCATGCTCTACATTACTTTCTCTTCTTCCTTCTCTCTGTGCATTTGTCTTAAGGACCTTGCAAAAAATTAATTTCTTCTCATGTTTTCTTTTGTGGATTTTGTTATTTCTCTCTCCCTCTCTTTCTTTCTGTAAATAAAATAATTTATTTTAAATTTCAGGTGAGTCATCATCCCCCAATGAGTGCTGGGCATGCTGAGAATGAGCATTTTACATATGACGTGACTTCAAAGTTGAAAACTAAGTTTTTGGGAAATTCTGTTGACGTTTACCCTGTTGGAAGGTAACAGTTATATTGCAGTTGCTTAGTAGATTTCCTCTGTTATATCATTTTTTTTGTTACTGTTGTTGTTTTGTATCACTCTAAGTCCCAACTTTGATTGACGTGTTCGCCAATGGCACTCTTAATGAAAGAGTTTCGATGACATCTCTATGATGTGAAGATATTTAATGTATTTTCAAGCTGGGTTGAGACATTTATGGGGGGTTATTTGATGAATATGCATATTTGTTCCAAGCTATTTATAATACTTGTTGGATTTGTTATAAACTTAAATGTAGTAGCTTTTGTGGGTATGTCTAGCCATTGGAGTCTAGGTAGTTAATGAGTTAGCCGTTTTTGTCTATTTTGACTACAACAGTAAGAAAATTATAGGTTTATAAATTGTATGGTTGATTACATGAATGAAACAACAAGAGGTGAATCAAGCTTTTTCAGAAGAGAGGTTTGTTGTCTACAAAGTGGTATCAATAGCCAGTTAGCTTGAGTGTCTGAATGGAAAAAAAAAAGCTAGAGAGAGCTTGAGTGTTTGAAAAAGAGAGACTGAGATGATCAGTCTTACAAATAGTGTGTGCTTGCCCAAGTTGACAAAGGTGGTCAACTATGACAAGTGGAGTCTCCAAATGAAACCCTTCTTGGTTCTCAAGACAATTGGGAGGTGGTGGAAAATGGTCACAAAGAGCCAACGAACACCACAAATTGGTCCAATGCTCAGATGAACATGTTGAAAGTAGCACGCGTGAAGAACAAGGTAGCCCTGTACATATTGTATGGAGCTATTGACGAGTCCGACTTTGAGAAGATTGCAAGTGTCAAATCTTCAAAAGAAGCATGGGATATATCGGAGGCCGGGGGTTGATTGAGTGAAGTAGGAGACAGAAGGAGTAACTGAGTACATGATGGGTTAAAATTGTGGCGAATCAACTCAGCAGAAATGGTGAGACATTTCCCTTCAATTGAGTTGTGGAGAAGATTCTGAGATCGTTGACAGAGGATTTCAAGAATGTGTTGTGGGCGATTAAGGAGACCAAGGAACTATCGACACTCACGGTTGAAGAGCTTGTCAGGTGCATGAGCTGCGAAAGAAGAAGAAGGCAGAGCCACTTAATTAACTACTCTAAATGAAGGGAGAGGCTCAAAACACTCAAGGTAGAGGACGATATTGAGGCAGTAGAGGAAGTGGTCACTCCAACCTGTCTTTGGCATTTCAAGGCTGATAGTGAGCCTTGCGCCTGGGCTTGATGCCTATGAAGGAAGCAAACCACTATGATAATAGATCTATGTTTTTGGATTTTGGGTATTTTCCTAGTTGGTTGTTGTTTGAGAATGCAAGGTGATGAAGGAAATTGGTAGGTGAATGTGTCTCTAAGTGCTCCACGTGACGCTTAAAGGTATGAAGATTATGGAATTGAAGACTCATGATCTCTTAGTGAATGGAAGTGAAGATGGGATGAGAGAAGTCTTCTAGAGGAAGAAATAAAAAAAAACTCTCTGTTTTAGCATTGTACCTCTATTTCACCATTGTTCCTTAGCCTCCTTTCATAATGTGTATTTAGCTTTGCATATTGTAGCAGTTGTGATGTTCCTGATGACTCATGTCATTTATTTACAAGTCTCCAAGGAGAGTCGGTGCAATCAGCTGATTAACACCAAGGAATTTCAACACCAAAGTAATGGGTTGAAGGTTGCTCATGGCATGAGGGGGAGTCTATTTCTGGTAAGATTCAGAATCTTAGTCAAACAATTTCACCAGCCCCTTGTCATATCTGTTTTTGGATGCTTTGATGAATAAAGGAGACCATTATGACCTTCCACCTTCACAGTTTGTCATCGGCACGTCGTCATTTTCGTCGTTCGTTGTGAGGGGGAGTATGTTTCAGCCACTGCAGACTCCATCACTTAGTGATGGCAGTCCCTGCAGCTTGGTAGCTTTCAGCCACTACAAGCTCCATCAGTCAGTGATGACAATTTAGTCCCTGTCGTTTGTCACTTTTAGCCATTGCAAGCCCCATCCTTACTTGATAGCAATCGAGTCTCTGCAGACTTTTGATGGAAATCTCCTTTATCAAAGTCATCCTAATTGAAGGTTCATGGTGCTAGTTGAAGTTTTGTGGTTGTCCATTGTTGTCCAATATTATTCAACATAAGTTGATGTGAGTTCTTCAATCTGTGTTTTGCACTTTTGCTATCTGTTGATGACTGTTTGTTGCACACTCTTGAAGACGGGTCCTATATTTCAAGAGGAGTCTCTTTGGCTATGCTGGATTGTGAGTCCAATTTGGTTTATAGACATTCTTTCTCGATGGTTTGAAGCATATGTGCATCTTGTTATAAGATGAAGTTCCCAAGTTCCTAAAGAGATCTCAAATTGAGTTTATCTATTCCAAGCTTGGTTCATACAATCTGTATGCTCCAGCTTGAGGGGGAATATTAGAATATTTACCCTATTTATCATCATTATATTGTGTCTAGGGTTACCCTATTTATCATCTTTATATTGTGTCTAGGGTTACCCTATTTATCATCATTATATTGTGTCTAGGGTTACCCTATTTATCATATACTTTTGTATCAAAACTTTGTTATATATAAAATGAGAGTGAGGGAGATCTTACAAGCCCTCGAGAATTATTTAACGGTTTCAATCTCAAGTAGTACAACGGTAAGAAAATTCTAGGTCTATAAATTGTATTGTTGATTGCATGAATAAAACGAGGTGAATCTAGTTTTTTCACAAGAGAGGTTTGTTGTCTACAATACTTTCTTCTAAGGATCTCCCTATGAGTCAGCGTAGGTTCCTTAGTGGTACAGTATATAGCTATGCAGGAAAATGATTCTTGATTTAATACTTGTTCTGATCTGAATTGTCCTGTTCTATTGTGATTTTCTATTTTAAAAGAACTTGTATGTTTTCAGAACGCGTGTGACTCTTAAGAGAGATGGTGTAATCTTGGATCTGGTGCCACCTCCTACAAAGGTTAACAACCTCATATTTGGCCGTACTTGGATTGATTCGCCTGGGGAAATGATAATGACTAATCTGACAACTGGAGACAAAGCTGTACTATATTTTCAACCATGTGGATGGTTTGGGTCTGTATCATTTCTGTTTCTACTTTCTTAAGAAGCAATTAATACCTTTATAATTAGTTTGTAGCAGTTGTAATTGGATTTAGATTTCAACATATGAGCAATTTGTTAGTTTATTCTATTACAGCTTTCACTTCAATGTTTAATGACATTGAAGTTATTTTCTTGGTAACGTGGCATTGAATATTTTTGCTTCACCTGACTTTGTTTTCATTGACCACTAGTTTACTTGAGAAATTTTCCTGTTAAAACTAACATATTTAAAATAATTGAGGGGCCTGAATTTTTTCTGCCTTCATTTAGGATTTCTATATTTTACTTCGTCTTTCTCTACTCAGCTATTTAGGTATCTTGCTTTTGTCAAAATATCTAGCCTTTAATTGGACGATCTATTTCTTGATTTGTCATAGTGCCGGTCGATACGAAGTGGATGGATATATCTATAATTCATCCGAGGAGCCTAAAATATTAATGACTGGGAAGTGGAACGAGTCAATGAGTTATCAACAGTGTGATTCAGAAGGAGAGCCTCTCCCAAACACAGAATTGAAAGAGGTGATTTTTCAATAAAAAGTCTTCTGAATGAACTTGAGATTATTTGCAATTAATGTTCATGGTAACTTTTCTTCAAAAACTAGGCATCTTGGTCTTAATGTTTGATGATGAATAACACCTTTGAAACTTTAGTCTTTTACCAAGTTGAATAGCATCACGTGATTCACGTAGCCGATCTCATGTAGTGGGACAAGCCTTCGTTGTTGTACTGTTTGAGGATAAAGTGATGGTCTATCTTGTTACACTTGGTTTAGGTTAGAGTTGTCGTGACCAATGGCCATAGTTCTACCCAGTTTAGGAACTTTCACAAGGCAAGAGTGCATGGGGAACCATGTGAATATTGTTGATCCATCAACCCTCAGCTCCTGAAAAGAAGAAAACAACAACTGTCTTTTCTCCCCACTTCCATCAAGCAAAAAAGTGGTGACATTGAACTCAATTTTTTTTAACTATTTCTGTTAGTTTACTATGCTTGTGCTCTTTGTTTTTTAAGAAACATAGGTTTACGCTTGAAATTCTGCACCTATCTTTAAAATGCTATTCTTTTGAAGAAACCTCATGATTTAATGCAAGAAGACACTAATATATTCTAGTATATTGGGTCGGTTTCTAGTACATATCTGTTGACAAATGCATATAATCCTTTGAAATCCAGCTTTTTTAGTCTTATTTATTAATTCTTTTGTTAGAAATTATAACCATTGCAATGAATAATCTCAGATGTCACTTTGGTTAAGAAATAAGTTTGCACTTATACTTTACTGTTATATTGATTGGTGAGGACACTAATACCTTAAAGTTCCTGATCATTTTCCTTGGCATATCCACTGATTTTGTTCTGCAGGTTTGGCATGTTGCTGATGTTCCAAAGAATGACAAATTTCAGTATACACATTTTGCTCATAAAATAAACAGCTTTGACACTGCCCCTAGAAAGTTGTTGGCATCAGACTCTCGTCTACGCCCAGATAGATATGCACTTGAGATGGGTGATCTGTCAAAATCCGGGGCAGAAAAGAGCAGGTTCTTTACGCTTTCTTTTATTCCTCCTGTCCCTCTGTGTCCAAAAAATTAGCAGAGCATTTTAGAAGCACTAATACTTAATATAAATAAAAGTAACAGACAACAGTCAACATAATCTTTATTTGGGGGTTTGGTTTTAATTGATCATTCTGTGGCCTTACATATTGTTATACCCTGCCCTGGAAATTAGAACCATTCTGTATTCTCTTGAGATTTTTTTAGGCTTCTCTGTTACCGTCAACCCCTTTCTCAGATAGAAATGTGTTTTTGAGTTTCACAGATCACCAAAGAAATTTGGTTAAATGATTCCCAGGGTATTTATCCTTCGCTTGTTTCCTTTCAGTTTGGAGGAGAGGCAGCGTGCTGAAAAGAGAACCCGAGAAGAAAAAGGCCATAAGTTCGTGCCTAGATGGTTTGATTTAACTGAAGAAGTGACACCAACTCCTTGGGGTGATTTGGAAATTTATCAATATAATGGTAAATACATTGAACATCGGGCTGCTGCAGATAACTTGGGAAGCATTGATGATTGTGATGTTAAATCAATTGAATTCAATCCATGGCAGTATGGTAATTTGGCCACGGAATGAATCGGTTTCTATTTACCTTTGGTTTTCGGATGCTGCAGTTGGTTCATGTAACATTGTATTGATACTAAGAACAAATCTAATTTTATTTTGGTTTTGTTGGCTTGTGATTATTGTAATATCCGCAGAACATTAGTATTTTGATTCTCCCACAGATACAATGTTTTTTGTTTTTGCATGGATGATGGCCGGCCGTAGCCCGTGAGGGTTACCTTGATTGAACTTGTATATATCCGTTGCTGTCCAGTGGTATTTTTGCTAGTGTCAAACATGCAAGATATTTCGGCTTTTTCTTAATAATTTGCTTGGGGGCAAAACAGTTAGACCACACACTCCTCTCTTCCAACCCCATACCCCAAAAGAAAGGGTAAGATTCGCAATTCTTAATAATTAAACAGAACAAGTATATATGATATTTGCGGCATGAATTTGAAGCCTGTGACATGCTTTGCACTTTAAGACCAATATGCATATCATCTGAGTATGTGATTCCTACACTCATTTTGGTAGCCAGAAGAATTTGGGGAAGAGAGGGAAAGTGCCCTTGTTTCCAGGTTAGGATCAGATCAATAGTGCAAGTGCCCTTCCCTCTTTTTAGATTTGAGAAATTATTGTTGTAAATTAATTTTGTATTTTTTTTACATATACTTGATTGAGATAAAGAAGGAATTATAAAAGGTTGGGGGTAGAAATATTACAGCTATTTATTGTCAGCCTTTTCTTTTCTATGTAAGGGAAGAGAAAGAATTCACCTCTTTCTTTATTATAATGACCTTTATCATTCATTGTCTGCAACTAATATTAATTAAATTGCGATGGATCACATCCTTGACTATTTTGATCAATTAAATGCAATATTTTTCGCAGCACATCTTTTAAGATCATAAATTAGGTATTCGCATGAACTTTTGATAGTGCATATGTTCACTTGGTCCCCACACGACTTTTTCATTACTGTTTTCACCATTGCCTTGTCTGATTCGACGATGGGTTGATTTGTACGCACTACCCCCAAAAAGGTGCACTCTCTTGAACACATGATACTGTATCCTGTGTCTCGTTTTCCTTTTTGCTTGTTTTGAATTTGGCATAGTTTTGTAACACAAAAGTTTCCAGAAAACTTAATTTACACGTCGCTTTTCTGAATTGGGTTTTTAAACTTGAATTTAACTCATTTAAGTTTATAAACATGAATTCAAAAATGCACTTAGTGGTGTAATACTAACCACTTGATCCTCAAGTTTTCTTCTTTCACCCTTTTTCCTGGTGGGTGTGACTGAGATCTGAATGTGACTTGTACGTCAAGTAAATTACATTCAAGTTACGTGACCTTTAATCTCCATCCAACTACTCACTTGATCCCTAGCTTTCACTTCCAAACTTCTCCCGATCATTGTTACTTGTTTTTTCCCACTTTTCTTTTCTCTAACTCACTTCGTTTTACTCCATCGCCATGTCAGTTCACAGGTCACGGTCACACTTTTGACTGTCCTTCCTGTACTCATTTTCTGACTTCTTAAAATCAATAATTTTTATAGACAACTCCCATCATCATTATCTTACTCAATTTTATTTATATTTTTAATACACTTTTTCATGTTCAATATATATTTTCAATACACTTTATTTTGGTTGTCTTCTCTGGGACATGAGTTATTCTTTGGATTCAAATTTCACACAGATCTGTAACTAATGATTCAACTGTGGCATGAACATGATGTTTAATACAAGACAAAAACACAGAGGTTTTTTGTTTTCCAGCTTTCTTGGGGAAGGAGGAATATGGATTCCTTTGCCTTCAATCAAATTAGCAAGAAGTGGCATAACACACGCCATCTCTTTCGTGGGCCACCTTGCATTTCCTCTCATCACGTGCCCTTACCCTTTTCCAACCCAATTCAATTCCTAAAGGACAAATCCTTTTCAGTTTTTTCCTTCTTTTTTTTTTCTAACACACAATTCTTTGCTAAGGATAATGTTTACACTAACGTCGTAGAATTACTTCAACAAAGTATAATACTATTGTTTTCTTTGAAATGAAAGAATGAACCTTAAAACTTGTCAAAACTTAACATGGTTGGTGCATTGAGAGAAATATCAATTTGTTATGTACTTGAATTCAAATCTTATTGACGTTGTATTATTTTAGTAAATTTCTTCTCACTAAACCTAACAAATCAAAAACTAAATTTTTATATATGTTATGCACAAATATTTGATTGGTTAAGAATAATAACTTGTTGTGTTATATTGTAAGACAGGAACATGTGTTGCATTGCAAGTTTGCTTGTTTGGTTGAACTAACTTTCTCCAAAGTTATCAATGCTTGGTTTGGTTTTGCATCTGTTTCTGACTTAACCATTTCTAATGTAACTCACAACACCACCTATCTCATACTTGTAAGAGAAAAATAAAACTATATTTAGCTACATTATATGTAAATATGGTTGTTTAACCTTTTTTTCTGTACCTACCTGATTTTCAATGACTCTACCATCTTACCTTGAAAGGGATCTTGCGAGTGTGTTACAAAACAGAGATAAACTCAAATTTTTCCTAAACAAGTTTGTCCATTATGACACTGACGTCACATTATCTCTAAAACATAAAAAATACAGATGACAAAAAGAAAATAGAGATGGTGACGTGGATGATATGATATGAGACACTTTTTTGGCTAGAATGAAACAAAGGACGTGGTTCGGCCACTGCCACGCTGCCACGTGTAACGATAACCCAGGTCTTTCTCTTGAGACCTACACGTGTCCACATCACGGAGCAATAATATTTAATATTTTGTCACATTTTGTCACCCTAGTTTTTCTTATATTCTGCTACAGTCAAAATCATCACTTTTAATATCATTAAATAATACATTGTATTTGAAACAGTACAAAGCATTATTACACTATAAGGACGTATTGACAGAGATTCCTTAAACGCCGTTTATCACCCAGAACGCCTTCTTATTGGTGTTGAAATTGAAAATGATATAAATGATAACGAGTGTACCAAATCTCTACCCTCTACATTACATTACTTAGTTTCTTAATTTATATTCCATGGATTATCAGAAATGAATATAATAAAAGGTTTGTTTTTTGTCCATACAAATACTATCTTTAGCACAGAAAACCGGATAATAATATGCATGACAAAAAAGTATGAGTATCACGCTTCTCTCACCCACTCACTAAATCTCATTATTATATATATCTATAATATTATATGCAACATATTAATACATTACTAATTAATTTATTATTATTATTATTATTACACTGTAAAGTTTAATTCAAATGACAGACATAATAATGGAAATAAATAATTAAGTTGTGGAATTTTGCAATTACTTACTTACCTTCCCAAAGCTTTTCACCTTTAACCTGCGATATCCCGTGGAGTTAACTGCGCTAACCGGCACACCCGGTGGACGGGTTGGTCATATAGTGCTTGGGGGGTTTAAGCAAAGGATGGAAAACTTTATCAGAGGGTTTTGGGATTCAAAGCAACAAATTGTTTTCTTTTTCTTTTCAATTTAGTTTCTTGAGACAAAAACAAACTGAATCATGAGATAAATTGCTTCTGTGATGAAAAACTAGTGTTAGTTGATTTGTTGGTTCACTTCGAAATTCGGAATTCGCCGATCTTACATTCGCCGGAATTTCGCTTCTTCCGGTGGAAATTCGGTTCTGTGAAGGAAAACAGGTAAGGATGTTTTGTTTCACCGAAAGTTTTTATGACAGTGATTTTGATTGCCGGACGATGAAATTAATGGGAGATTATGTCGTATGGTTATGTTGAAATATCTTTACTCGAGTTGAATTTCCGTTTTTCTTTGGGATTTGGGTTTTGCTTGTTTCTTTAAGATCGGTCTTGCTTCGTTGTTTCAGATCCCTACTACGGTATCCTTTTTGAAATTTTCTGACTTTTCCCGTGAACCTATCTGAAATCTCTGAAATATCGTTTGGTTTTGCTTCTTCTTTGATTTTAGCGTATGGTGTCTTAATATGAGCTGAATTGTTTTGTAAAGATTATATATATCTTCTTCTGAATCTGTTTTCGTTGTGTGATCATCTGTATTTCTTCCTTTATCATCAACGTGCCCGGATCTGGTGAAAGTTACTTAATTGACTTTCTCTGGGTTTGGCATATGAAGGGAGTAATTTTTTACTCTGAAAGATTGCGTTGCAATTAATGGTATTTACCGAATCTAGTTTTTTGTTATTGCAATTATTCTGTTATCTCTCTATGATATGTTCCCAAATCTTGGAAGGGAAACGCGCACTCTTTTTTTTTTTTAATTACTTTTAATGACTATGGTCTTCAAAGTTTTTTTTTTTAATTTTTCCTTTTTAAAGAAACGAACCTGTTTTTGAGATGCCCCACCGGATATACCCTCACACCTAAGCATTGTGTAGTTATAAGGGAACGGTGGGACTATTTAATTCGTAGTCTTTCTCTTAGATGTTTACTCTATCATTCTAGACGAAATTCAGTAATGTAAAACCTTGTACAATACTTATTTTTTACTTTTACAGGTAGTGAAACTGCAATGCATCTGATCTTTTACTTATAAGGGAAGGGTTTCCTCAGGCTTTCAAACTGTGGCTGGTTTAATCGAGCAAGAAGAAAACTGCTCATTTATCAAATAGTGGGTCTTGGATTGCTGAATATCTGTGCTTGATCAGTCGGTTTTGGCATGGTTTCTAAGATATGGTCTTACATAACAGGATAGAGTACGGATTTAATGGTTACCAGGCTCCTGCCATGCCCCGAGCTTCTCGCTCAGTTAGGGTAAATTTGTTCTGCTTCTTATGGGGGCCTGGTTAATACTTCAATTTACTTGTGATTTCATGAATCAATATTTATATTTGTTTTGTTAAAATGTTTCGTAGAGGAGGGCTATATTTCAAAGAGCGGAAGACAAGCAAAAGTGTTCATTTGACTTATTGGCCACCGTAGCTGGTAAACTATTACAAGAGAGAGAGAATGCAGCCATTTCTAGTGATACATTATCAAATAAGGATCAGTGTAGATTTGTCAAAGATTGCCATGATGCAAATAAACCATCCAAATCCGAGCTTTCTGACGAAGGAAATTGTGACAAAAAAAGTTTGAATGAATTCCCACATCCTTCAATTGATGTCCATGCAAAGATTGCTTCTACAGTAACAAGTTCTAGTTGCATAGAGAGGTTCATTGCAAAAAAATCGGTGGATGGAAATAGCCATATAAAAATGGAA